GGGCGGGTGGTTTTCAAAGTGTTGCTCTCATCCTAGCTCCGCGCGCATTGTTTTCAAAGAGTTGCAAGAGCTTCACATATGGGGGGCGGATGGTTTGCAAAATGTGGCTCTCGCCCCAGCGCCGCGCACATTCGATTTAAACTTTGGTAAGAGCTTCACGGATTGAGGGGGGGGTCGTTTTCAAAATGCGGCTTACGCCTTCGCGCCGCGCACCTTCGTTGAAAACATTTGCAGAGATTCACGGATGGAGGGCGGGTGGTTTTCAGAATGTGGCTGTCGCCCGAGCGCCGTGCACACTCGTCTCAAAAGGGTGAAAGAACTTCACGGATTGAGGCTGGGTGGTTTTCAAAAAGTGGCTCTCGCCCTAGCGCCGCCCACTTCGCTATAAACATTCTCAAGAGTTTCAGTGCTTCTCATGGTCACGCACCAGAAGTGGTGTTTTGGAGCGGTTCAGGACTGTCAGGGCGCAACAGTTACATTGATTCGAGGTGGTAAAATCACAGGATTGGCGTTCTGGCACGACTCACGATCGTCAAGACGCAACAGTCTGGTTAACTCGTGGCCTTGTGGCCCTCAGAACACACTTCAGGATGTTCACACGGTTGTCCCCCAACGGGGCGATTCCCTCAGTAGACATGAACCGTGGCAGGGGCCTATGAAGAGGAAGCGTGGAGGGAGGGTGTCTTCCAATATCGTTAATGAGTCCTTGCTTTACACTGGTCCTCCTCCTCCTCCTTACCCTCCTCCTCCTCCTCCTCCTCCTTCTCCTCCATTCCGTAACTCCTCCCTGCCGCATCCGGAGGCCAGTCGGAAAGGCGGGCCGGGCGTTTCGCCTGAAACTTTCGTACAATTAATGATCCTGCAGCTAAGCTAGCGAAAACAGCTTCACAAACAGAAGGCAGGCGGTTTCGAAAATGTGACTCTCGCCTTAGCGCACATTCGTCTTAAGCATATACACGAGTTTCACGAGTTTAGGCGCCGTCATTCGTCCCAAACAGTTGCAAGAGTTTCACGGATTCCCGTGGTCAGTGTACCAGGCAAAATTGTCAGGGTGCCACAGTTACGTTGATTCGCGGTGTTGAAGTCCCAGGAACGGCTTCATGGCACGATTCAGAATCGTCAAGACGCAACAGTCATGTTGATTCGTGGCGTTGGGGTGAGGATGGTGCTTTGGCACGCTTCCGGATCTTCAAACGTTTGTCTCCTAATGGAGCACTCTCCTCAATTTGGATGAACCCTGGGAAGGGGCCTGTGAAGGGAGCTTGGAGGGAGGGTGTCTTCCCATACCGTTGGTGAGTATTTGCTTTACAATGGTCCTCCTCCTCCTTCTCCTCCTCCTCCTCCTCATCATCTTCATCTTCATCTTCATCTTCATCTGCATCTTCATCTGCATCTTCATCATCATCATCATCATCATCATCATCATCATCATCATCATCAGCATCATCATCATCATCATCATCATCATCATCATCATCATCATCATCATCATCATCATAATCATCATCATCATCATCATCATCATCATCATCATCATCATCATCATCATCATCATCATCATCATCATCATCATCATCATCCTCATCCTCATCCTTATCCTCACCTCATTCTCATTCTCACCCTCATCCTCATCCTCATCATCATCCTCATCCTCATCCTCATCCTCATCCTCATCATCATCATCATCATCATCATCATCATCATCATCATCATCATCATCCATTTCCTCCTCCTCCTCCTCGTCCTCGTCCTTTTCCTCCCCCTCCCCCTCCTCGTCATCATCATCATCATGCGCCTCCTCCTCCTCCTCCTCCTCCTCCTCCTCTTCCATTCCTTTTCCTTATGAATAACTCCTCCCTGCCGCACCCCGAGGCCAGTTGAAAGGGCTGGCCGGGCGTTTCGCCTGAGACTTCCTTGCCACTTATGAGCCTGAAGATGAAAAGCTGACAACAGTTTTTCTCCTCAATCTTCCTCCTCCTCCTCCCGCGTTGTTTCATGGTGAGCGGCGAGGGGGGTGAAGGAGAGAGAAAGGTGCACCTTTGGGCCTCGCCAGGGCCCCAGGCGTGCCCCTGCCCCGCACCCCCCCTTGATCGCCCCCTCTGCCCCTACGGAGGGCCCGACGTCCCCGTGCATCATCCTTTGTTTCGAAAAATGGCACAGGATGCTCCTCGACGGTCCCCGCCAAACCAAAAACAACAAAGAACGCACTCGTCCGAGCGATGCCAAGCCTCCCCCCCTCCTCCCCCCAGGAGACGCGCGGCACAGCACGGGGCCTCTGCACCAGCGTGACCACGTACCTGTTCTGGAAGGCCGCTGGGCCCCCACCCGCGGGACCACTGAGCTAGCGCGTGGGCCTGCCTGTGCGTTTTCCGCGGTGCGGGCGCGCGGGGGAGGAGGAGGAGGAGGAGGAGGAGGAGGAGGAGGAGGAGGAGGAGGAGGAGGAGGAAGAGGAGGAGGAGGAGGAGGAACAGGAGGAGGAGGAGGAGGAGAAGGAGGAGGAGGAGGAGGAGGATAATCGGGCGAAGACCTCCTCGTTCCCAATGCCTCCATAGAGCACTATGTATGTTTTGCGCGAACTCATGACTAGCCCAGCAGCAGCGCGAACAAGGCCAAACTCGCGGAGGTTGATGAGGAAACATTCGAAAAACTTCGCACAACTCATTCCGAGGTCATCAGCAAATACTCCAAGCAGGCATGGATGGCTGGCTATTTTTATAGTTCATATTCCTAACAATTGGGTCGAAGCAAAGTACCCACATTAGCCTCGATGGCGGACACCCCTGTTTGACTCCACGAAAACACTGCATAGTCGGAGGTGAGGGGGTGAGATCGAATCGGAACGGAGAGCCCCCCTACCGGGAAATCGGTTTCGGTTTCGTGTTCGTGCGTGCCGTGCTTGCGGGCGAAGCGAAACTGCGTGGGCGGGCGAAAAGAAACTCTCCTCTGGCTGAGGCGCGGCCGGACCAAATGATTCCTCTCCGGGGGCCGGTGGCGCGCGGTGTCCCGCCGGTGTCCCGCCTCCGGCTGAGGCGCGCGGCCGGACCAAATGTCTCCTCTCCGGGAGCAGGTGGCGCGCGGTGTCCCGCCGGTGTCCCGCCGGTGCCCCGTCGTTGCCCCGATGATGATGATGATGATGATGATGATGACGATGATGATGATGATGATGATGATGTCGATGATGTTGGTGATGATGGGGCATGCGGTGATGATGATGATGATGTCCCCATGATGGTGATGTTGACGATGATGATGATGATGATGATGATGATGATGGTGATGATGATGGTGATGGTGGTGATGGTGTCGGTGCCCCGATGATGATGATGAAATGTTGATGATGTTGCTGATGATGATGGTGTCCCGATGATGGCGATGATGCTGACGTTGATGATCATGATGATGCTGAGGATGGTGGGATAATGACGAGAAGGTGCTAGTGATTGAGATGATGATGATGATGGTGTCCCAGTGATGATGAGGTTGATGATGAAGCTGTTGATGATGATAAAAATGATGGCGATGGTGTCCCGATGATCATGATGGTGATGATGATGTGATTATGATGATGACGAAAGCTTATAATGATGATGATAGTGTCGCGATAATGGTGAGGTTGATGATGATGCTGTTGATGATGATGGTGATGGTGTCCCGATGATGATGATGTGATGATGATATTGATGGTGGTGGTCCGATGGGGGGGGTGATGATGAAACTGATGTTGATGATGATGGTGTTCCGATGAGGATGATGCTGATGGTGATGATGATGCTGTTGACAACGGTGATGGCCTCCCGATGATGATGATGATGATGTTGATGATGATGCTGATGATGAAGATGGTGTCCCGATGATGATGGTGATGTTGATGATGTTATATATGGTGATGATGATGAGATGATGATGATGATGGGGGTGTTCCGATGGTGGTGATGATGATGGTGTCCCGATGATGATGATGATGGTGATGATGATATTGAAGATGATGGTGTGGCGATGATGATGCCCAGATGGTCGTGATGATTTTGGTGGTGATTGTGATAATGATGGTGCTGAGGTGATGATGATGGTGTCCCGATGATGATGATGATGATGCTGATGACGTTGGCGACGATGATGTTGATGATGCTGGTGACCTTGATTGTGAGATCGATCGTGGGATCGATAGTGAGATCGATAGTGGGACGAATGCGAGATCGATTGCGTGATCGATAGTGAGATCGATAGTGAGATCGATACTGAGATCGATAGCCAGATCGATTGTTCGATTGTGAGATCGATCGAATGAGATAGATCGAGTGAGATCGACTGCGAGATCGACCGAGTGAGATGGATCGAGCGAGACCGATAGTGAGATCGATAGTGATATCGATAGTGAGACCGATCGAGTGAGACGTCGCCCCCCCCCCCCCCCCCCCCCCCCCCCCCGAACCTCCCCATCGCCCGAAGGGTGGTCGTATAGGTAGACTCAGTAACCCCACGATACGAAACAACCATGGCCATGACCCGATAAAATTCCCGGGTGGCCAACAGAATGGTTTCTGGAATGGAAGACACACGCCTCCGAGAGCCCTAAAGATCCACTCGCGCGATAGAGACGGAAATTCACTGGCTGCGCCAGAAAAAGGCACAACCAGCTTCTCGTTCGCCATGAGCCGAAAGCCACCCCAAGACTACGGCCTCCAGCTGGATGATATTTTTCGACAGCTGCCTCCCTCCAACGAATTCCCTTCGCGGGTGGTCGACGGCGACCAAGGCGATCGGAGCGAGATACCAGGCAACCATTTTACTCTAGATTTTGTTGTCAGCACTACTGAGAGCTATCGGCCGCGTCGTAGAGGGCTGGCGCGCGATGACAAATTTGTCCTCGCGCTCGGTCCCTTCGGGCAAGAATACGCCGAGGGAGAAGTTAAACTTCGGCGGCAGCCTCCTGCCCTGCAGCAGAGCCTCAAGAATCGCGCAAAGCGTAGAGTGAAAGACCCTCCATCCTCTGGCCCACGCCGAGCATGACAGCCCGTCAGGGCCAACAGCCGAGACTTTCTGTCTCCCCAAGAGCTCCACAAAACTATCGTAGTACACGAAGTAGACAGGGATGGGGATGGTGGATTGCATAAACTGAACGCACCCCTGGAAGACCTCAGGACGAACCTCAACACTCTCGAAAACCTTGGCCCAGTGGCCCCTGGGAGCACGAGCCCCCTCGCGCGGATCCGCGATTGGGAGCCCGCGAAGATCTCGCATCTGCGCAAGCCGAAGCTTCCGATGCCTTGGTGACCAGCCAGCCGGTCTCCGTCGCAGAGCGCCAGCTCGAGCTGCCTTCGCGGCCCGCGGGAAGTCGCCAGCCTCACTGTCGCTCATGAGGCCGGCAATGCGCTGCACATTGAGCTCGTTCATCAGAGAGTGAAATCTATCGAAGTCCGACAACTTGCCAGCGCCAATATCAACGCAGCCGTAGAGGTCGGGGAAACCACGGCAGGCTTCCCTCGGGGCCCCACGGTCCTGACGGGCAACAGCCCTCTGGGCCGCTAGCATCCAGGAGATCTCCTGAGTGGGGGCCCCTGGACACGCTTCGACAAGTTCTCCTAGCACAGCTTGCACGGCCACGAAGGCGATCGATTTTGGCTCAGCGACGCGGCCCACGGGGTCATCCGACATATCAACCACGCACAAAAAATCGTTCAACATCTCGAGGAAAACTCCGGCGTTTCGCCACCCAGCTCGGGATATTACCCAGCCTACCAGAACCAGGATGAAGGCCAAGAAAAACAAGGGTGCAATCGCTCACGTTGGACGCTCCAAAAGCACTGCCATGCACACCAATGGTCGGGTGGAGGTCGAGCAGGGTGGAGACGCGGAGGTCGGTGTAGAGACGGCCGAGACGAGCAACAGATTCCGGCGCGCCGTTCCTGCTGCGCACGCGCGTCGGCCACTCCTGATCCACTTCAATAAGCTGCGGGAATCTTTCCTGAAAGAAAGAGTCGGGATGGTAGGAACTGGAGGAGTTGCCTGCACACGCTCTGCCGTCGAGGCATTGCCGCACCTCGCCAGGCGCGCAGACGCGAAAGTCGCCCCCCCCCAACCACCCCCCCCAAAAAAACAAAAAAAAAAAAACGAAAGTATGGGCCCTCTCAGCACCTGCGCGGCACTAGAGAGAACGGCACGTTTTTGGCGCACAGTCATAGCTGGGCCAAGATGAACGTTAATGATCTGAACACACCCTCGAGACCCAGAGAGGAGGATCCCGCGTCATCTGCCTTCTTGATGAGCCCGATGCCTGACGCACTGAGATGCGCGCAGGAACTGATGCTGAATCGAAATGGCACACCCATCAGCCGACGGGATAAGGATAGCACGTGGTGAACGATGCTGAGGGAAAAGACGACGCAAAGTCTCATCACCACCTATGCCTCCGTGTGCTTCCTGCAAGAATAGGACGGCATGTCTTTCTTCTGAATAACGTAGTTCGGCTTGCTTCCGTTCCTGGAGACCGCGGTTGCCCGGGGCCGCGCCACGAAGAGCATGGGCATTCCAGGTACAGATGCTGAACGCAGACGAGAGTGAGAGAGAGAGAGAGAGAGAGAGAGAGAGAGAGAGAGAGAGAGAGAGAGAGAGAGAGAGAGAGAGGGGATAAAAAAATGTCGGATATTCCGATCTTCAGGAGGCGACTCAGAACTGGAGGAGGAAGAGGAACCAGAGGACGCGGAGCTGCTGGCAAATTGCCTGCCTGCCCGACATGCGCCAGGGTTCCCTGGCAATCTCCTGCGCTTCTGACCGGGGGAGGAGTGCTGGCCAGGTAATCTGTCGACCGATCCTGGTCGAGCACAGGTCCGACCAACGTCGGCGCAAAAAGAACTGGCATGACTGCGGCAGCGGGCGTCACGGCACTCACTGCAGACCTGCTGTCGCCCATCCTAGGCGCTCATGGCGGCGGTGATGATTTCGTTGGCCTTACCGCCTTACCGGTGCCGATGCCCCACTCCGCGAGCCTGGTCTCATTCGGGGTGATGATGAAGGTCTCACCAGGGGCGTCCTGCAGGGCAAAGAATTCCCAGACGTCGTCGGCGGAGGTGGCGAACAGAATGCCTCTGGGGCCGTTGGCGCCGAGCCTGCAGCCCTCGCTCCGACGGGTGAACTGCTTGACTTCCTTGAAGATGGGCCCCCACAGCTTGCCGAGCACCTTCTACTTGCGCCCCACGCCCATGGTCTGATCTGGACGTGCTCGAAGCAGCTTGGACTCACCATTGCGAGTCCTTCCAAGCCATTTTGGAATCCTTCAGACGGGCGAGAGTAATGAAATCCTTGGCCTGCTCGGCAGACTGAAAGACGACAGAATACGCGTACTGCAGGTTGTAGAACTTTGGCGTGGCCACTTCAGCCACAGCAGAACTGATGAGAGCCTTGGCGATGTTCCAGCGGGCTTCGAACTGCTTGCCAAGAAGCTTCCTGGGAAAGCCTCCAATCCAAACGTTGCACGCATCTTTTGGGCGATCACGCTCAGGAGGGGCTGACAGGCACGGCGCGCACGCTTCCCACCAGGCTCCCCACCAGCCCCGGAGTAGCCACCCCAGGTGCTGCCTCCTGTGCTGCTCTCGCTGTAGCCCTCGTTGAGCTTTCTCTGCGAGGCGGCAAGGTCGGCTTGGATGGTCTCGACGAGCTTGCCATGCCTGTCGACGGTGTCGGCAAGGATATCGACCCTCCTGACGAGGGCCGCGACTCCTTCGATCGTGCTGCCCATGCCGTCCAGCCGTGTCATCATGAGGTCGAACTTCTCGTCCATGGAGACAACTCGCGCCATCAGCAAAATGCGGATGTAGGAGAAAAAACGCGACGGCCGCTCGGGCGTGAGCTCACCGCCAGGGTGAAAGATGCCCGCTCGAATTCGACTTCGAGAATGCTCTCTGAAGAGAGCTGCCACACTCAACGGGGCCTGTCCCCACTTGAGCCAAAGTGGCAACTGAGAGGGGGAGGAGGAGGAGGAGGAGGAGGAGGAGGAGGAGGAGGAGGAAGAGGAGGAAGAGGAGGGGGAAGGGGGGAGGGGGAGGGGATGGCGAAGTGCTGCCCTCGACCCCCTGAAAACTCGAGGGGAGAGGCTTCCGATGCCGCTCTCCGCGTCGCAGCAGAGATCATCGGGGACCTGCTGGCCCAGGCCCATCCAGACCCAGGTCAGTCAGGCCTGTAGGATCCTGCAGGATCCTGCAGGATCCTGCGCCCAAACCTGGGTCAAAGCACCCCTGGCTTTGCGCAGGATCCTGCAAGAGTTGGGTCGGGCATGTCCTCCTACAGGCGGATTTTGGGTGAAAGTTGAAAAATGCTCAACCGGTTATTCACAAAAACAAAAATAGTAGAACAAAACTTCCCCTGACTTGACTTGGACCATTTTGAATCTTCCTCCTGTAGAGGGACACGCCCGACTTCATGCAAGATCCGGCGTTCAAAACTCACCCAGGTTGGCATGGACCCCCGCCTCTCGAGCCCTGAGATCACGATGGAAGGCTTTTGCTGGCCTTCGGTTTCCAGGAGCCTGGAGGAGGTGCACGCTCTTCTTCCCTCTCGTCCTCCCCGTCTTCCTCCGTTGAGACCTGGGCGCTGCAACTTGTAGCACACCAGGAGGCTTCACTTCGGTGATGGACAGAACCCCCTTCAGTAAAACGTGGTTTAGTGAAAACGACCTCGGGCCCAAACCTGGCGGGCGCAAGCCTGGAAAATGACGACCGAAGCGCCCTCTCGAGAACCGAAAACGGACAATCCACTAATCGACATGTCTTGACCGTCGCGGACACCCTACAAAAAGGCGAAGTTCCATAATACGTATATACATGTTCTTTAATTAGCCCATAAATTCTTTTAATTCTAATATAGTTCTCGCACAAAATAAACGATCACAGCTTTCGGTTTTATGTGTTATAGGGAACGTTTTTGCTCATCTCCCTCACTTTGCCTCCGCGCGCGCTTCCACCCCCGCTCTCCCCCAATCCACCACCCCCCGCCTCCAGTTTCCTTTGCGACCATCCTCCGACCCCTCTTGGGGCCATTTTGTCTTGTTGTATTTGTTTTCCTCAACTCTGTGGCGCGCCCTCCCCAGGCTCGCTCCGCGGGCTCGCCCGCCGCCGTTCTCTGCAGCCAGCCGCAGCACAGTTGCGTTGGTTCCTCCTCCTCCTCCTCCTCCTCCTCCTCCTCCTCTTCCTCTTCCTCCTCCTCCTACTTTTCCTCCTCCTCCTCCTTCCAAGTCCCCCATCGCTCCTAAGTCGCTTGCCCCTTCCCTATCCTTCGATTCTCGCTCCGCCACTTCCCCTATCTCCTCCTCATCCTCCTCATCATCCTCGTCCTCCTCCTGTTAGTCCTCCTCCTCCTCCTCCGCCCCCTCCCCCATCTGCTCGCCGCCGCTTCGGGGCTGGCAGAGCCAGGGGGGGTCGGGGTCACCAGGGCTTGGGCTGGACAGCCCCACGCCCTGGAGACCGTCTGCGGTCGGGCCAACAATGAAGGGGATCAATCCGAGGTCCGAGGTCACGCAATCTCCTCGAAATGGCCCCCCTTGCCTCCCATGGCCCATCAATGGGCCCATCAACGATCGTCGGCTTGATCGCTCAGACCGTGGATTGAACCCCTCACGCCCGCTCAGCTGAGCAGGCTAGCAGCCCAGCTCACGCAGCAGCATCTGCGGCGCCGTCGGCGTCGCCCTCCTCTGCGTCGCCCTCCTCGGGGACGATGGCCTTGATGGAGTCGGCCTCGGCGTCCTCCATCGCCCCCGTGATCATCCTGTCCAAGGCCGCCGCAACGTCGGCGCTGAGGTTGACCCACTGCTTCTTCTTGGAGAGCTCGTCTTTCAGACGCTGCGCCGCCACCCTGCGACCCTTGCTATTCGCCATCGGGGCCAGCTCTGATGACATGCGGAACACGGCGTAGGTCGTGGTCACGTACCCAGCGCTCACGGCGCAGGCGTCGCCGGCAGACTTGAACAGCTCGGGGCCGACAAGCTTGATGGGGCCGGCCTGGACATTCTTGATGAGGTTCAGTTCGACCTGCGCCTTGGAGCTGAGCTTGGCAACATTCTGGAACTCATCATTGGAGACCATCTTCTTCAGCAGCTCGGCGTCGCTCATGACCTCGTTCTTCTTCATCTGGTACTCCTGCGGCGTGCCGTTGAGGAGCGCATCGCGGTCCTCGGTCAAACTCTTGGTCCAGGACTCGCTCACGATATTGATCGACTCTTCGCCAATCTTCCTCAAGTCATCGGTCACAGACCTTGCGTCGCATATGTCCACCAAGCTGGGGCACGGATGATGCCCATCGCCTCGTAGTTTGAAGAGCTCGCCCAGCTGATCGGAGTCTGCGGCGGCTCGGTCGTTGAAGTCCTTGAAGCAGTTGAGGGCGCCTTCCAGCGTCTTGCAGAAGCCGGCCTCGATCTGGACGCGCTTGCCCCCCTCGGTCGCGGACGCCACCGAGCTCTTCAAGGCCTTCAGGGGAACGTACGCCTTCGCCAAGGCCGTCATGAAAAACACCTCTCGCTTCAGCATCACGTCGCCGCTGTCGATCGCAATTTTGACGATGTCCATGGCACCCTCAAGAACTTCAGCTTGCACATTCTTCTGCCCCCCGCCCGGAGTGGCGAGAATCGTCTTGACGTAGTCGATGAGAGGTTGGAATTTGCCCTCCGTGACCTTGCCCATCTCCTCCGTGACGAACTTCATCAGCTTGTTATCCTCAGGGCCGTTCTGCTCCAGCCACTCTTTGACACCATCTCTCACTTCGGCTGAAAAGCGATCGCTCGCGGACATGGTCGCGATTGCACTCTTCAAGGACATGACGCGCTCGCGGGGGTACTTGCTCTTGTCGAAATTCTGGGCGGAGCTGAACTCCTTGATGAGATTGCATGCGCTCAAGATGTGAGAAGGAATATCCGACTCGGGGCAGGCGGCGATCTCCAACAACCTTCTGAGGGGCCCTCGCAGGTCACCGATGCTCGTGAGAATGGCAAGCGCCGACATGCCCACGCCAGAGCCGAACTTCACGTCAAACGTCTCGGTGCCATTCAAGACGTCGATGATCAAGGCCTCCCACATCGCGGCGGCAACCTTGGTGGCCTCAACGATGACCTGCGACGCGGGGGCCTTCAAGCTCTGCGGCACGCGGTGGCCCATCAACTTGTCCGAGAGATTCTGGGAGGCGTCCGCGCGACCCGCCCAAGCATCGCGCCACGGCCCAATCCGAACTCCCGAGTCCGAATCCCGAATCCCGAATCGAATCCAGGATCCGGAACACACAGATCGCGGGGGGGCCCGAAGGGGCGAACCTGGGCCCCAGGTCGCACCGACAACCGAGGGCCGTCGAGGGCCTCCTCGCGAGACTGACATGTGACATGTCACATGTCAGTCTCGCGAGTCTTCCCCCCCTCAGAATGCCCAAGGCGAATGGCTCTGTGGCTAGGATGCTTGAAGAGGCCCCGGCCGCGTCCTGGAGGCCCGCCTGGATGTCCGCAAAGCTGCCCTCCGAGGGCTCGGCGCCCAAGGACTTCCGGAGGGCCTCCACGTCAGGCATGCACGCTGTCTCGCAGTCCAGCTCCGCCTCGCGCGCCTCGGCCCCCGCGCGGGCTGACTTCACCAAGTTCCGCCCCACTGGAAACATCTGCAAGCTTGAAGAGAGGACGAAGTTCTTGTCCTTGGTGGCGTCCGCAGCCGACAACACCTCCTTGGGCTCGCTGCCACCGTTGAACAAGATCGCGGTGACGTGGCGAATCTGCGTCTGGAGGCCGGCGGACACCAACGCATCGAGGTTCTCTGGCAAAGGATGTGGGAAGACCCGTTTGAGAAGCTCGTCAGTCTTGGGCTGCTTCAAACACTGGACGACGCGATCCGAGTAGATGTTGGCCTGAGCTTTCCCCCACGCAGCCAAGCCGAATGCGGCCTTGCACCTCTCGGCGCGGGCCACCTGCATGAACTGCGCGGGCGGACACGCCAGGCACTCATGCTTGCAGATGCCCATGTTGACGAAGTCAGGCAGAGGAATGACGATCTCTGGCTCCATCCTGTTATGGGTCAGCGTTTTCTGGTAAATCTCGTAGAAGGCCGCGCTTTCCTCTCCGTGCTCCTTCACGGCATTCATCAGATCCGCGGTGCCATCCAACGTCTTCTGCAACTTGAGCGTCGCGTTCAAACTCTCGACGTTCTCCACATTCTCGATGGCCTTTTTCAAGTCGTCCTTCCTCTTCTTGATCGCCTTCTTGAAGTTTTTGTTCTCCTCGCCAGCGCCGTAGAGCTCGGGGTCATCCTTCTCGGTGTTCGCGAACTTGTCAGAGATCTTCTGAACCTCTCGAGTCAAGTCCAACGGTTTCCGACCGCGGCCGCCGCCGCTTGGCTTGCTGATGGGGGCACCGCCGTCTCCGTCATCGCCCGCGCCGTCGACGCCGCCCTGGGCCGCGGTCGTCTTCGCCTTTGCCGACTTGCCCTTAGCAGCGGCCGCGCCCTTCGCCTTGGCCTTGCCATTTGCTCTGCGGCCGCGCGGCAAAGTATCCATGCCCTCGTCCTCCTCCTCGAACCCCTCCAGCGCGGGCTCGGCGCAAATGAGGGACACGCCGAAGAGGCCCGCCGGGCGCGCCTCTGGAGACGCAGCAAGCTGCAAGGGCGAAGCCTGGACCTTGCCGCATGGACTGGCCACGGCCCGGCACGCGCTGCCAGAGGCTGCAGGAGAGTGAGCTGCGACGTATTTCGCAGTGGCTTTCAAGGGGGTGTTCTGCGCGTCGACGATCGCCTTCGCGCTCTCCATCTGGTCGTCCTTGATCTGGAGCTTGGTCTCGGAATTGTCCACTTCCTCGGTGATGTCGGCGATCATGACCCCCCTCCTCTTCCGCTTCCTGATCGGAGGGCCCGGGACAATCACTTCCTTCTCGCCTTTAGCGTTCTTCGTGACGACCCGGTGGCCCAAGCCGTTTGCCGACGGGTCCCCGTGGACCGAGAGGTAGTAGTCGTAGTCCCAGTACTCGTCGTCCGCCTCCTCCATCGCATCCTCAGTGCGGTCCTTAGTGGTCAAGGTCTTCTTCATTTCTTTCCAATCGATCTTGGCATTGCCGTCGCCTAAGATAATCTTCTTTTTGGCGAGCTCCTTCAGCTCCAAGAACTCGTCGTGATTGGCCTTGGCCTTGCCGAGATGAGCGATGAGCTGCTTCCAATTCATCGGCCTCTTCTTGTACAAGCACTCCCAGACCCTGGGGCGCGAGCGCGGTTCCCTCCCATCGCCCTCCGCCCACTCCCCCCCCCCCATCCCCCCTCGACGGAGGGCGCGCGCGCCGAATCGCGCGCGCGAGCGCGGCCCCCCAGTCCGCGCGACCAGCCTCGCGATGCGAATGTTTTCGCATCGCGCGCTCCCGAAACCAACGTGGATTCGCGAGCGCGCGCGACCTCCGTCGAGAGGATGGGGTGGGTCTCGCCAGAAGTTCCAAGCTCGCGCCTCGTGCACAGTCCGCAGCCGCTGCCCTGATTGTACCACTTCCCATCGGACTTCATCGTGGGAGGGTAGCCCCAATCCAACGGAACCTCATCCTTGAACAACGCTAAGTGGACGGGGTCGGGCCCTTCCTCGGGGCCATCGCAGACCTCGCACCTCTTACCGACAAATGTCAACTGGACGTCCCTGCCGCGCTCCCTCCCCCCTGCTGCTTTTGCAATCGCCTGCCGCCCAGATGGCCCAGATGCCCCCGAGGATCCAGCGTCGCCCGACGACGCTGCCGCCAACAGCAGAGGCTGGGCCTTCACCGACATGGCGCAGCCCGCCGCGGGACAGCTCTACTCGGGGGGACGGGGGGGGGGTCTTCAGGGCACTCCCCGGGCCCATCGCAGGGCAAAAGGATGCGCGGATAAGGAGGTCGAAGCTGAACAAAAAATAAGTCCGAGCGTCCAGGCAAGGATGATAAGCGGGGAATTCTCTTCCGACCCCCCCCCCGCGCCCCCCCCCCCCGCGCCCGCTGCGGACAGCGCGGCCAAGGCTCTGCTGAGCCTTCGCTGCTGTCAACATGCTGCCGACAGAACGGCAAAAGGATGGCCCAGATGCTTGGATTCCCAGGGGGGTCGAATGAGGGATGGCGCGAGCGCGCGGCCGGGCCCAACGTCCAGAGGGGCGGGGCCCCCTCTGGCATGGCCCTGGGGCTTCGCCGTCGAAAATGGGTTGCGCGGCCCGCCCCGACGGCCCTGGCTGGGGGGGGCTTGGGCGCGTGCCCGGGGCGCGGGACGCCTGCGAGAGAAGTTGTCTTATCTCGCGGGCCTCGGCGCCCCGATGATGATGATGAGAATGATGATGATGATGATGATGATGATGATGATGATGATGATGATCATGATCATGATGATGATGATGATGATGATGAATGATGATTCATGATGATGATGATTCAATGATGATGATGAATGATGATGATGATGATGCTGATGATGATGATGACGACGATGATGATATGATGATCAAAGATGATGATTCAATGATGATTATGATATTATGATGATGATGATGATGATGATGATGATGATGATGATGATGGTGCTGCTGCTGCTGCCCCCGATCGTCTGACGGGTGCCCGGTGCCCTTTTTGACTTCCAAGTCGACTGCAAAAGGGCACCAGGCCACCGATCGTCTGACGGGTGCCCAGTGCCCTTTTTGACCTCCAAGTCGACAGCAAAAGGGCACCAGGCCCCCAGTCGTCTGACGGGTGCCCAGTGCCCTTTTTGACTTCCAAGTCGACTGCAAAAGGGCACCAGGACCCCTATCGTCTAACGGGTGCCTGGTGCCCTTTTTGACTTCCAAGTCGACTGCAAAAGGGCGCCAGGCCCCCAGTCGTCTGACGGGTGCCCGGTGCCCTCTTTGACTTCTAAGTCGACTGCAAAAGGGCACCAGGGCCCCGATCGTCTAACGGGTGCCCGGTGCCCTTTTTGACCTCCAAGTCGACTGCAAAAGGGCACCGGGCGGAGGTGACAGGGGGGGGCCCTCCACCGTAAGCCCCCAACACCTTTAGCACTCTCCACATGCCCTAACCTACCAAGTGTCAATGTCAATGTCCCTGAGGTGTTCGATGATTTGGAACCCTCGAAAGTTTCTCGGGATTGGCTCCGGCGGCGACGGGAGCCTTCATCACGGTCTGCTGTGCAAAGATGAGCAGAGGGTAGGTTTGAAAAAAAGGAACTCTTGAAATCCCCTTTTATTCAAAGTGCCATGCCTTGGCCACTAGAGGGACCGACTGAGGTTCCCCCATCATCAGCATCATCACAAGCAGGACCATCATCAGCTGAACTCAACGGTTTGAGATCAGCCACTGCTTCCATGCGCTCACAAATCCCCTGGAGCAAGGTCTTCGACCCCTAGCCACGTCGAGCCAAGTGCGCCATCGCCGCGACGCGAGAGGCGGCCCGCTCGCGCTGAGGGCCCCCGAGAAGTCCCGAGAGACACGCAGACAGGCCCGAGAAGGTTTCTCGGCCCAAAATGGAGACCAAGTTTGGGCCATCGACCCAGCCCTGAAGTCCCAACTTTTGGCCAGCCTTTCGAAGCCGTCTCGGGCACTCAAGCGCCCCCAAGAGAGCCCCGGGAAGCCTCGCGACAGGCCCCTCTCGGGGGCCTCTGGGGCCACGACTGGGCGCAACAACTCAGTCTGAGTCCATCTGCGAGTCGGGGAACGGCGACGCGATGGACTTGTCCTCGTCGATCGAGTCCTGCGGGTACTCGGCGGTGTTCTTCTCGGCTGACAGGCCCATCGTGCAGATCGTGGCCGCGAACATTGGCCAGAAAGAAAAGATGTTGAACGCGTTCCCCATCAGCTTCCTCATCAAATCGAATGTGAACTCCTTCCGCGCATCCTTCGGCTTGTCGGCCCAGTGAGTCGCCGACCAACCCATCATGGCGAAGAGCTCGAAGGGGTGCAGGAGGCGAATGACCTTCCTGCCGTCGGCGTCGACCGTCCGGTAGATCCACAAAGAGTGCCCAGTCTGGCAGGGGAGGACGCGGGTCTTCCATGGGTTCTTGATCGCGTAGGGCCTTGGCATGTCCTTCTTGAACTTGTCCTCCACTTTGAGCAGGCGCTGGAGGCTCTCGTTGACGTCGATGAACTCGTGCACGTCGATTGGCGCACTGAACATCTTGTCGGCGAAGTACAACAGCTGCTTGGCGCGCACACTCAGGTTGCCGTACACTGCTTCATCGCCGAATTGGATAGCCGCGGGCGGATATGGCAAGCCCGCATCCTCGTAGATGCACTCATGGAAATACTCATAGTCTGGATTGTCCTTCCCTGCCTTGCCTCTGTCGTTCTGTGGCGCCGGCGGCTGCAACCCCAACTTGCCGTAAAGCTCCTTCGCCTCGCATTCACCCGCCAAGAAGGCGCTCCACGGCATCGCGTCTCCGCCCATCTTCCACGTGGACAATAACTGATCGAAAATGGACTGCATCTCCTTCTCGTCAGCACCTGCGCAGAACCTGATTTTCGCCATGTATAGCCGCTCCCTTGCATTGCGGCTGCCGTAATCCATCGCGTCGATCGTGCGATCGATGGAGTAGTATCCCGGCTCTTGACAGTCATCGTATATCGTGGCGAATTTCTTGGCGATGTAGGCCACGTCGGATATGCCAGATTCGGTCTTCTGCAAGAGCTGAGTGACGTTTTCCAGGATGATGAACGTGGGGGCGTTTTGCTTGCAGATCGCGGCAATCGTGCTCAACACTCCGCCCGTCCTCCCTTCCTCTTTCTGCACGCACCCAACCATGTTAGCTGCATTCGCGTTCTGGGCAGAGCGGTCCTGGCAGGGGAAGCCTGCGAACATGCCACCAGCGAACGGCACCACTCCCTGATTGCCTGTCCTGGCGCATGGCGCCCTCACAGAGAGCAAGTCGGCGACGTCTCCGAAGATATGCGTGGCCGAAGACTCGACCTTGAGGAAGGACTGCTTCTTGGGGTCAACCTCGGCCGTGAAGACCAACGGGAAAGACACGTCGATGTCGTACTTCCGTTTCCAGAGAAGCTCGAGCTCACTGACGGCAATTCTCATGATGTCGCTCCCGCCACAAAGTGCACCCAACGTGTACTCGCCGTTCTCGTCCGCGAAGTGCTCCTTGAAAGACTTGAGCCCCCTGACGTACGTTTGCTCCAGAGACGCGGGCATCTTGAAGTGGCTCAGCTCCATGGCGGCCATGATCGAGTTGTAAGAGCAGCCCTCGTCCACCCTGCGCGGGGAGCGCGACCGATCGGCCGCGGGGGCGTCTGCGCCATCGGCCGGGCCATCGCCGCCACCTCCGCGAGGGTCCTGCGGGCCGCCGAAGAACGGCGAAGGAGATGAGGAGCAAGCAGAGGGAAGAGGCAGGGAGGGAACGAGGGGCAGGAGGAGAACGAGGGGGCAGGAGGAGCCAGAGAGCGAAAGGAGGAGAAAGGGAGGCACAGGGGGATAGAAGGGCGAAGATAGAAACGCAACCGTCTAATAATTTGAGGCCCCGCTGAACTCGTTTAAACGGAATTATTTGCCCATTAAATGGTTTCCCCGGCGTTTCCCCGGCGCCCCCCTGGGGGCCCTGTCAAAACGTATATATATATATATATATAGGAAAAACGCATCCTGGCGTTTCCCCGGCGTTTCCCCGGCGGCCTTCCTTTAAATGGCACCGAAAATAAACAAAAAATAACGCGGCCCCGAAATCTCACCAGGCGGGCTCGAGGCCGCCGGCTGACTCCACGGGGCGTTGGCACTGCGAATGGGAGGGGAAAGGGTCGCCGCGAATGCCCCCGCCGATCCTGGAAGGCAGGCAGCTCGAACTTGAGCTTGGCCATCGGGCCCGCCCCTGGCTGGGTCGGAATGGCGCAGCTCGCCAGGCGAAACTCGGGAACGCGGCTGCGGTCGCAAAGGAAGGGGCGAGAGGGGGCTGACCAACAGAGAGGCAGGGCAAGGCAAGAGGCCGGCGACGGCGCGCGATGGCGCAAGGGCCACAAGGACAGGTTTTGCAACGGGCATTGTTCTGAGGCCTCTCACGTGCTCCTCGAAGTCGAAGCGAGAGGAGGGAGGTGGCGGGAGTGATGAGTTGGCCATCGCGCCATCGCGTCTGGATCCGAAACGGTTCCACCTCTTCGTCTGGACAGGTGCTCTGGGTGCCAGACTTCGGATGTCGTAGGGTTGGATAAGACCGTGAAGGAGGTGGAGTCAACGGCGGTGTCGGGCTCGCTAGGTAGGGCCAGTGCCACGGTGAAGGTTCCCAGGGGGCTATGGTCAGGCTATGGCTATAGGCTAGGCTATAGGCTATAGGCTATAGGCTATAAGCTATAGGCTATAGGCTATAGGCTATAGGCTATAGGCTATAGGCTATTGGTCAACACTCAGACGATTAGGTTTCGAGGTTGGGCTGGCTGGGCAACATCGGGTCTCGCGTGCCGTTGCTGCGCTAGTCTCCCCTATCCCGCCTTGGCCCCCCCCTCCCCCATCTCCCCTCCCCCGCGCTAACCCCTGCATCTCTTATACCTCGCCGCGAGGGCGCGCGGCGGCGCGATGCAACGCGTCGCGAGGCCGCAGCTGCCCGCGCCAGCCAGCGCCTCCAGCGTCGCGAGAAGCCCGCGGCTCGCGCCAGCCAGCGCCTCCAGGTCCAGCGGCAGGGCGGCGCCTCCGGCGCAAAGCGAGCAGGGGGAGAGGGGGCGAGAGCAGCGGAATGGATCACACGAGAGCAGGATAGCGAAGAGGGTTCCAAGATGGCCCCGAGTCAACTCGATCCAGCCAGGTCGATGGACCTGTGGATAAATCTTACT